AATGGCCCTAGGATCTTCCAACTTAGGCATGATCTGATGAATCATACTCAAGGGGAGCTATCTGATAGTGCTTATTTCACCAAACTAAAAACTATTTGGGAAGAGTTAAGCAACTATAGGCCATCGTGTTCGTGAGGAAAGTGTAGTTGTGGAGGTAACAAGAAGTTGGCTGAGCTATATGGAATATGTAATGTCTTTCTTAATGGGATTGAATGACTATTATTCTCAAGTGAGGGGACAACTGTTGCTCATGGATCCAATTCCACCAATAAATAAAGTCTTTTCACTTATTTCTCAGGAGGAGCATCAAAGTTCTGTTAACGTGACTACTAGATCTATTGATTCATTGGCATTTTATGCCAAGAATGATGTAAAGAGGACAACTGTAAGGCAATTCCGTTGTAAGAATCAAAAGAAGGACAGACCAATCTGTACACATTGTGGATAAATGTTATAAACTCCATGGATACCCACCATGATACAAGACAAAGTAGAAAAATAGCTTGAACAATCATGCTGGACCTAGTTCAAGCAAACAAACAGGTTATAATCCTTACCCAAATAATATTGTTGCTAATCAAATTTCTGGTTTTGTTCTAGATCAAACTCAAGGCAATGTTGAAAATTTTATGCAAACTTTGAATTCGGAGAAATACCAACATCTGATGAGTATGCTTAATAGACATCTCACAGCTGCTAAAACGGTAGATGAAGGAACTAATTCAGGTCATGTGTCAGGTACATGCCTATCCATTTCTGTTAATTCGATGTTGAATTCCCCTAAGCATTGGGTGATGGACTCAGGGGCAACTAGTCATGTTTGTTTTAGACATGCATGTTTTCAGTCCTTGAGGGCAGTGCATAATGCTTATATTACACTTCCCAATCATACCAAGATCCCTGTACATTTTGCTGGAAGGGTTAAACTCCTCATGATTTGATACTTGAGGATGTGTTATTTTTACCAGAATTTAAGTTTAATCTCTTATCCATTAGTGCTTTGACCAGAGACTCTACTGTAAGCATCAGATTTTTCACTAGTCATTGTGATATCCAGGACTTACACAGCTTGAAGATGATTGGCAGGGGTAAGAGAGTCGATTGTCTTTACATCATTGATAGAGCACTTGACACATTGAAAGATCGATGTAATTTTTCAGAGTCTATCTGTAATTCTACTTACAGTGTAGTGAACAATGTAAATTCTCACATTTGGCATAGTAGAATTGGACATTTGTCCTTCAAAAGATTGGAACATTTGAAGGATCAGTTACATTTTAAGAGTGATAAAAGAACTCATGATGTTCCATGTTATGTCTGTCCACTTGCTAAACAAAGAAGGTTGCCATTTGCTTCACATAATCATTTATCATCTAATGCCTTTGATCTGGTTCATGGAGACATATAGGGTCCCTATAGCTCTCCAACACGTGATAGCCACAAATATTTTCTCATGCTAGTTGATGATTGTACTAGATTCACTTGGGTATATTTTTTAAAACAAAAGTCAGATGTTCATTCCCAAATTTTTCAGTTTGGTTGAAACACAATTTCACAAGGTTATTAAGGCATTCAAGTCTGATAATGCACCTGAATTGCATTTCACGGACTATTTTAACTCAAAAGGTGTGCTCCATCAATTTTCTTGCATTGGAAGACCTGAACAGAACTCTGTCGTTGAAAGAAAGCGTCAACATTTGCTTAATGTGGCTAGAGCACTATTCTTCTAGTCACAAATACCTATTCAATTCTAGGGAGACTGTATTCTCACAGTATCTTACCTTATTAACCGAACTCCATCAACAATCTTACAAAATCAAACACCATTTTCCTTACCCTCTATAATACCCCGGTAAACTACCATTTTCTTAAGGTCTTTGGATGCTTATGTTTTGCCTCAACTCTTACCTCTCATCACCTAAAATTTCATCCTTGAGCAAAGGCCCGTGTGTTTCTTGGTTACCATCCTGGCATCAAAGGATATAGGTTATATGATATTGTCTCCAAAACCATTTTCATCGCCAGAGATGTGATCTTTCAAGAGCACATTTTTCATTCTATCTCACATACTCACAATATAATTGACAATTTTCCAAAACTCTTCTTTTGCCTAAACCTGCATCTGATATACCCACTCACGATTTCGCCAAAGATTCAATTCCTAATAACTCTCCAAACTCGGGCCAAATTACCATCCAATCTGCCACTCCTACTAACCCAATTATCAGGAGGTCACTTAGAACCATCAGATCTCCATCATATCTAAAAGACTTCCACTGTAATCTAAAGATTTCCACTGTAATCTTTTAGCTACTCCTTCAGTCCCTATTCACAAGTCCTCATCCCCTTATCCTTTAAGTGATTATCTTCCATACACAAAACTATCTTCCTCTCATAATACTCTACTATTCAATATATCCTCAAACTTCATGCCTCAGTTTTATCACCAAGCTGTGAAATACAATCATTGGAAGGAAGCTATGGATAATGAGTTGGTTGCAATGGACTCAAATAAGACCTGGTTTGTTACCTGCCTACCTAAAGGAAAGCATGCTATAGGCTGCAAGTGGGTGTACAAAATCAAGTATAATTCTGATGGAAGTGTTGATAGATATAAAGCATGCTTGGTGGCTAAAGGGTACACTCAGCAGAAAGGCTTAGACTTCATCGAAACCTTTTCTCCAGTTGCAAAATTGGTAATAATAAAGCTTCTTCTAGCCATAGCAGCCATCAACAAATGGCATATCATCCAATTGGATGTCAATAATGCTTTCCTACATGGAGATCTCTTTGAAGACATTTATATGGACTTACCTTTGGGTTATACTCCTCCCATCCCAGTTGGCAAGCAAAGGAGAGCGTCTGGTTTCTAGGTTGCATAAATCCATTTATGGCTTGAAGCAAGCCTCACGTCAATGGTTTTCAAAGTTTTCTCATGCTCTATTATTACATGGATTCCATCCAAATCTAACTTTCCTTATTTACTAAAGGGCCTGGAAGTAGTTTTGTTGCTCTACTAGTATATGTTGATGACATAGTCATCGCTGGCTCTGATCTCCCAAGTTATTGATTCCTTCAAATCAATTTAAGCTTAAAGATCTTGGTAAGCTTAAATATTTTCTTGGTTTAGAAATTGCTAGATCACAATGTGGCATTTTTGTCTCAAAGACATTATGCTCTTTAATTGTTTGAAGACACTGGATTTCTTGCTTGCAAACCTGCTGGTTTGCCTATGGATCCCAAAGCTTGCTTAAACTCCTTTGAGGAGGAGCCACTGGAAGATAGTTCCATGTACAGGAGGCTCATTGGACGCTTACTTTATCTAACAATATCAGGCCAAACATTACATTTGCTGTCCATAAACTCAGCCAATTTGTATCTCAACCGCGAAAACCTCATTTAACAGCTGTACATCATCTACTTCGATACATTAAAGCAACACTAGGTCCGGGCCTCTTATTTTCTGTTGAATCATCTCCAATTGTGTGCCTTTGCTGAGCAGATTGGGGATCAAGCTTAGATTCCAAAAAATCCGTCACCGGATTTTGTATATTCCTCAAGGATTCTACGGTGTCTTGGAAGGCTAAAAAGCAAAACACAATATCACGATCTTCTGCTAAAGCTGAATATAGGGCTTTGGCTTCTATTGCCAATGAACTTGTATGGATACAACAATTACTTCTTATTTTCCACAATCTAAGGCTCCAGCATTGATCTTCTGTGATAACCAAACAGCAGTTCACATTGCCACCAATCCCATTTTTCACAAAAGGATCAAACATAGAGAGATAGATTGCCATTTTGTGAGAGATAAAATCAATGAAGGGTTCATTAAGCTGCTGCCGGTTCGAACTAGTCATCAATTTGCTGACATTTTCACAAAACCGTTACCAGCCACTACGTTGTTTCCTTTGCTATCCAAGATGGCTGTCATCAGTCTACACATTCCATCTTGAGAGGGAGTATCGGATTCAATGGAATCAGTTTGGCACCAAAAGTTGTTTGGTTGTTTAGTTAGTCAGTTTTTTGTAACTAATTTTCCCGTCTTTTTCTTCTTCTATTTAATGTTGGTGTAAAATACAATTTAAGCCGGGTTGAATAAGGGCCTATTTGAAAGCGATTTTTTCACCCAAAAAATTGATTTTTTGATCGTTATTTCACTATTTTAGCCGTCATATTTGACTTATTCTCTCACAGATGGACCCCACCTTTCTTCTAACGGTCAAAAAATCAATTCTCAAAATCACTTCCAAACAGACTCTAAGAAATTACATTTTCCGAACCTCTCTGATCTTCAATAGAAGTAAAGGTCTCATTGATCTATGATCCGTGGAGCATTAGAGAGGCAACTAAGATACAGATCAACAAATTTTCCTATACCCGATGTCGGATGACTCAAATTTAATTATCAGATATAGATGTCTAACCATTAAATGCCTCCTTTCTGGGGAAAGAACACTCCAGCATTCTTTCATCACCCTTCAACAGAATTTCTATATATAAATCATAATACCATGTCTGGTTAGCTCAAGTTCTACCACATTGCTAGATTAATACATTTCACTACTTCAACAATCAATCCTTAAAAACACAACCCATTTTATCAGCTACGAATGATGGGCTATGCATTGAAGAGAACCAAGGTTAATACATTTGAAATCTAGTAGCCTTAAAACTGCCCAACCTCAATACATAAAGTAACAAACCTCAAGCGCATAATCGGACATAATCAAGAGAATTGAACAATATTGCTAGCCCAGAGCCGCAATGCACTACACAAATATTAATTCAATGAGAAGTTCTATCAAAAATTATACATCAACTTTAAAATCTCTGTACTAGAAACAGAACGTGGAAGGAAAAGACTCCAATTCAACCCAAAGCATTACCAGTACCACTAACAGACCTCTTAACCATTAAAGATCCTTCAAATCAAATAAACGGCACCGCACAATCAAAGCTGAAACCAGATATCAAATCAGAGGGGGAGTAAAAACCAGTTTTAAACGGAATTTCACTCCATTGAAATAAACGAAAAATTTAGAGAACAGAAATCTTCGCTTCGTTAAAACAACCATCACATTGAAGATACAAAAGAGCTCATTACATTCATTTAGACCACATACCACGATAATCCCAATTAAACCAAGCATTTACACGAAACCCTAATTTCCAAAGTAAACTAAGAAACCAAGCAAGCACATTCCAAACGCTTAACCCCCAAAGCCGTACAGTGTACGGCCCTGCCTCTTCAGTGCATATACAACATCCATTGCAGTGACAGTTTTCCGGCGAGCGTGCTCGGTGTATGTGACGGCATCCCGAATAACATTCTCCAAGAAGATCTTGAGGACACCACGCGTCTCTTCGTAGATGAGCCCACTAATACGTTTAACTCCACCTCTCCGAGCCAGACGCCGAATCGCAGGCTTGGTAATGCCCTGGATGTTATCACGAAGCACCTTACGGTGGCGTTTTGCTCCGCCCTTTCCCAAACCCTTGCCGCCCTTTCCTCTTCCAGACATTTTCCAGGACGAATTTGCTTCCAAAATAATTAGAACGAATTTGAATTGAATTGCAATGCAACGAAATAATGTGGATATATAAAGGAGAATCCGGATGTGAGGATTAACTTGGGGCCGTTGGATTGTATGTATTGATCAACAGTTAATATTGGTGATCCGTGCTTACTAAACTCAATAGCTCTCACCCGCTGATAGGTAACTGATCTAAGGTGGATAAGATTTTCGATGCTCGGAAACATTTCATCTCCAACTATTGTCGACCGTCATTTTCCATCAGATCAACTGTTCACGTGTCACGATCCTCACCAATCAAACCCCGCAATTAGACTAACGCTCCCAATCCAATAAATGGTTATTTTATTTTTTTTTGCATCATGAGACATTAAATACCAAGAGTGATGACATTTGCAACTAAAGAAAATAAGGGTGGATTTAATTGCAAATATGGAAAAAAATAAATTTAAAATAATTCAATTATTTAGAACTTATTTGTATAAAATTTATCGATTAAATGTGTTTGATTAATTTAATTTTCAATTTAAGAAATATTATATTTGTCCGTTTTTATTAGTTTATAGATGAGAGAGAAAAAAGAGAGTAAATTCCTTGGAAAATAAAATTCTATTCCCCTGAAAAAAATATTTTCCTTGATTTTGAGAAAAATATATTCACGTGACCAAAAGTATGAAAATATTTTCCTGAAAAAATGTCAATCAAACAATACAAAAATAAAATTTTGGGTGAAAAAACAAATTTTCTCAAAAATAAAATAAAATATTCTCAATTAAACGCACCCAAACAAAAAATGGAGTAACACATCTCAAGGTGTCAAGGACCGCAGCTTCACTTAACCAGTTGACACGATCGTAATTTTGCTAAGAAAAAAGGCACCCCGTGAAACAAGGGAATGGGAAGTATGGAAAGCATAAATATTTCTATACTACCCCTTATGCAACACGGGAAAAGCCTTTCCAAGGTTATTACATAAATATCCACAAAATGGGAGCCATTTAGAAAATCATGATAAAAGTTATTTTGAAGTAAAAAATATGGTAATTTTTTCGCTTAGTGTTCAACTGTTCAAGACCAACCTTATGACAACTTTGGCCCAACAAACTATTCTAAATTTTTTTTAAGAACATGTTTAGATGCATTGATATTTTAGTTTTACAATTAAAACTTTAATTATTTTGACGCTAAATTAAATAAATTACTTATTTATAACTTTTGTTATTGCGAGAGTTCTTATTTACAACTATAACTTTACATTTAAAAAAGTAACAAGCACTTGAATAAGTGATAGAAATTTTAAAAAAAAATGGTGACATTAAAAAAAGTGTTGCAAATTCAAAAAAAGTGACAACAAATTAAAAAAAAAATGACAAACACTTAAAAAAGTGGAGAAAATTCAAAAAAAAAAAAAAAAAAAAAGGG